ACGTTTGATTTTTCAGTACAGCTCAGATCAGACGTGTGTTTGCCTGGAATTTAATAGAGCTTCACGTGGTGTATTTATTTCAAGAAAAAAAATGAAAATAGGTTCTCGCCACATAACTTTTTCCCCATTACAAATTTAATAACTGTTACTCACTCTGACATTTTTTATGACACTGAAGGGTTTTTCTTTGTATTGGATTTTGTAATGTGATTTGTTTTGTGAATCTGTACTGTCCGACTAAAGCTGTGTGCTAACATTTTCTACAAAGCTATTGGCAGAAACTGGACGGTTGTTTGTGGTGTGATTGAATATCAGTATGTCTTGGTTTTGGCTGTGTTTGGTGCACAGCACATGAACACAAACAGATGTTTTGACATCATTTTAATTTAAAGAAAAACTGAGTCGCACGTGTCACCCTCACCTTTCCACAGGGTCCCTGAGCATAACAATGAAGCGTGTGTCGGGCTGTATGGCATGAATAAGGTCCTGGGTCAAGAAGGGGGGCTCTCCTCTTGTGGTGTGGTTGTCGTAGAAGTAAACCCAGGCATTGTTGTCCCACATGGTGGATGCACTGGCTTCACCTGCAAAATACATGTTTTATTGATAAATAACTTAACATAACTGTGGATTTATCATAACTAATCATTATTTTAAAAAATGCCTTTTTTCTGTAAATTGCTAAAACAGGAAGACATTGCAGCAGGTAAATGTATGTGTTTCACACTTTTATATAATAATAGAATTTAAAAATTCAGCCTCATGGTCATAGTAGGACGTGTCGAGGCTGTCGTTGTCAAAACTTTATTGCTGAAAAAAGTTTAGGTCATCAACCTAAGGAGGAATTAATTTACAAAGTACCTCAAGTGTGTGAATAAACTGACACTGCTGCTGTTTTGGTCTGTTGTGTTTGCAGGTCCTTATTATCTTATCATAGTGGCTGACTCTCATCTCTTGATTCAGTTGTTGACACTTCTGTTTATAGAATTCAGTTTCAAACTTTTTTTTATGGAGTTAAGTTTTCAACTGTGTGAACAGTAAATAGTTCTGTTGTAAGGGAAGCAGCAAATGACAGGAGTTCTAACAATAACAATCTGTTACTGTTGCCGTAACTCGACCAACAGAATCTTAACTCCAAATCAGAACGTTTTACTGAGGAGCCGTCGGGCTGCCTGTGCCTACATTATTCTCTTCATATTTAGCCTGAACACAACTCTATCAACATCGTTTAGTCCGAGGGATGAGGGCCAGGGGCCTCTTTACTGTACTGACAACAGTGAGTGAAGCCGCTAATGCCTTTGTGCCTGAAACTGTGCACAGTGTGATCCGGTTTATTTATAGCCCTCCACTCCATGCCCATTAATACAGCTTGTTCCTCTCCATAGGGAGAGGGAGAAACACTGCAGACAAATGGAGGAGCTCAGCTGCCTGAGTGTCTGTGGCGTCTCGGAGCCACTTGTTCTTAACCTGTGGTTAAAAGGAGTCACAGACCCAGGGTATTTACCACATGCGTGCTGCGTGCCGGACTCACCGGGGAGTAGAGTGTAAATACTGAGAGAGCGAGTATGAGAAAGGCGGACTCCCCGCACAATGCAAGGATTATTTATTTAAAGAGCAAAACAAAACCAGGGCGGCATGCTAAGCTGTACTCAACGCTCCAACTCAGTGCAGTCTGAAAAGGGTATTGTTAAAAACTTGAATCACCACTGAGAAGTCCTTTCAGGTTGTGTTTGGAAGAGGGGAAGCAGATGGAGATGGATGAAAGCAGGATATGCAGATAGAGGAAGTTAGTAAACTCCCCCACCTCCAGGTCTGCTCAAGCTTAGTAAACCAATCATTCTTTTCTGTGGCTCTTCAGTGAAGTTATAAAAAAATATATATCTCAGTAATGTTGAGCTTCAGGATCTCACTTTCGGGCTGAGTCACTGTCTTGGCTTGAAATCAGTCTCAGCCTCACTATCATCTGCTGCAATGACAGCCTTGTAGTGTTGGGGTCCAGATCACAACACCTTTGGCTGCAGCCTGATGTCAGTCCACACCATATCTGGATAGTTTTACAACTTCAATATCCAAGAAAGAAAGGGAGCACAGTCTGTAAACCAGACCTTTACTTATTGAACAGAAATACACATAATAGAATGCATGTGGTTTTACTAACAAACTCAGTTAATATGAGGTACTTACTGTTGTACTATTTTTTCATATACTTTTGTTATTTTAGACTTGAGGACACCTGGTCCACACCAGTGAAACTTTGACGATTCTGCATCGTCTGATTCCACTGGGTGAGATGTGTCTGACATTTTCAATAAAAGAGAGTTTTACTCGCAGAAAAGCGAATGCTACAAGCCTACAGTACACGCTCCAATCATGTTGTAATTTGTGTAGAACCATGCACGTCATTACACTCGTATTAATTACTATTATTACTATTACTCAGTCAAGGAGGCCGCTTTTTTTTTTTTTTTTCAGCGGCCTCCTTGACTGAGATACTTGAAGTCTGTGTGATTACCACCCAGCTGTTCACCTGTGATGATGTTTGGCCTCCGGGGGCGCCCTGTGATGCTGGATTTCGGGCTGCCCTGGATTTGGTAAGCAGCCTGATCAAATAAGTCCAGGTAATCTTCCACTGGGAATGGTTCTTGTAAGCCCTCGTTTGGATGGTTCATCCCTGGTGGTGAGATAGGGATTAGGTTACTGGGAAAAGCTATTGGTTTCTAACACTGGTGATGGATTGTCTGGACGTGTGTACAGAATTATGTGCAAATCCCAGTGTCTGTTCTGCATCTCATGTTTTTTACCAGTTATTGGGAAAAATAAAAAACAGCTCATAAATATTCACTGATAAAAAAATCACAGGTGTGGCCCGGCCTGAGTGTCTGACAGGACAGTACTGCAGTAGTCCAACAATGACTGTCTACGAGAATCAAGTAGGGACACCTAGAGTCACTTGTTAGTATTTTGTAGAGTCAATAGAATCTTTGTTTAGTGTTTTATTTTTATGAGGCAACAAAACTTTGTTTTCTTCAGACTGCTGAGTCAGCTTATAAAGTCCAAGCTAAATTCAGTGGGGAGCCCCGTCCTGTTCTTTTCTGTGAGGTTAAATTGAAGGAGTTTAAAAAATAGACTGTAGCATTCAGAGCTGTTTTGAGGTGCGGCCCTGCTGTTGTTTCTCACCTCGAGGCTTTTTGTTTTCCTTTTTTTTTAATCTGAGCGACCCTTTAAAACCGTACCCCTTGCCTACGTGCTCAGAATTCAAATGGCTCCAACTAAGAACGTTTTGCAGCGTGGAAAACATCAGATTCTCTTCTCAGAACATTGGCCGCGTGAAAACTAGAGCGGAATGAAATGAACTTGTACAGAATGAGAGCAGTGAAATTTACAGCATTGTCAAAAGTGACGCCTGGAGAAAATACTGCCAAACTGCCGGTGCGTGAACTCGAGTGCAGATCGAGAGGAGGAAGGAAGAAAGTGACGTTACAGATAAGATAAAAAAACATGGTAGTTGGGGTTAAAACTAACAGGGAGCTGCTGTACGTCTGTGTGATACTGTGTTTGCTGCTGTTTAACAACACACAGCTGCAGAGAGGTTGGCTGTGCAGACGGAGGAAGAAGGGGGAAAAAAAATAAGAAAAACAACTCCTCCACATCCCGCAACTTTTATGAGTATCTGCTCAAACCAAACACTGCTTTAAAAATAAGCACAGCGTGCAGACACAACACTTTCCCAAACTGAGTCTGAAATGGGGAGAAACCTAATAAAGGAGGTGTTTTGCTGCATTGACTGATGTGCGGCACGATGGGAAATCTTTCCGTAACAGTGGTCACTGAAGTATTACGCCCAACCTTAAAAGTAAACTAACAATTTTCAGGGGAAAAAGAAAATTTTTCTGCCTTACTGTAACACTAAATCACAAATATCTATATTAAGTTCTGTTCCTTTTCATCTCCGACAAATTATGTTTTTATTTTATTGTTTTAACTGTTTTGTAGGTATAAAGCAAAGATGTATCACTTTAAAAAATGGACCAATTATTTTTAGATTCACTAATACTTGTGAACAACACATTCTGTCTTGTAAAATTTCAGTGAAAGTCACAAGTGTGAAGAGAGGAAGTAGTAAGTAAGTAAGTAATGTTTTTATAGGTGATAAACATGAAAAAAGTGTAATCTATTTTTTTTTTTTGTTCAGATGGAAAAAGTTAAATCTCTTTCTATTTCTTAAAGAGAACCTTGATCCAGGATCTGACACAGAGTGTGTGTTTTCCTGTCGTGTTCTAAACGGTGTTCGCAGTATTACTCTTTTGTAAGAAATACCGGGAAACTGTACCACAAATTTTCGTTTCCTGCGTGTATAGAGGGAGTGTGCGTCACTGCTTCTCTCTATGGTTTTAACCTCAGATATTAATCGGTGTCAGAGTTGAGTGACATAGTTCCAGTTTACTCGTGTCCTAATAAAAAACGATTAAACCAGTGGTTCTCAACATTTTCTACTCTGTACCACCTGAGAAAACATTGAGCTCTCTGGGTACCACCATGATGACCAACACGTACATGTACCACAGTTTGAGAACCACTGGATTAGACGATTACAGTCACTCCATGATGTCGACCAGACGGGGAGGGAGAAATTAAGAAAGTAAAACTAACAATTAAAATGTACATGCTGAAAAGGTGAAGGTGAAGTGTTGTTGTTTCTTTATTGCAACATTAGAACTATTAATTTGTGCTCATAAACAACTCTCAGGTACTGTAGGAGAACAGCCTGAGTGTATTTTTATGCGCAGCGACAGGGGTCTCATGAATATTCATTTCCCAATTAATTGCTTCGCTACTGTAAACATCGGGGTCATTTTATTTATTTTGCACATGGGCTTCAAACCAAAATAGATTGCCAGAGTTGTTTGGGGTTTTTTTTTAGTTATTGTCCTGCAGAAAATATTTTACAATGTCAACTTGTCAGTCAATATCGCAGGTAAACACAGGAGCGCACGGTATCCACTTGGACGTAATTCTGATGAACAAACGCATAAGAAAACAGTATGAGATTTACATTGAAAAAGACAGTTCTCACACTCACCAAACCTCCTGCGAGTCCACCAGTGAGGCTCTTTTATAGTGCTGAACAAGACTTCAGGGTGGAGCTTCAGTCTGGCGTAAAGGTCTGTGGTGCCACACTTTGGTTGGCCGATGATGTAGAAATAGGGAAGGCATCGCATGCGATACATTTTTCCATCCTGGTGAACCAAGTGCTTTTTGAAATTGTCCTGAAGTTCCTGGGTCCTCAAACGTTTGGCCCTCCGATCATACATGTTTGTCCTGTACGGGTCCAGAGTGATATTCCCAGAGTATTCCTCGTACCAGCACGGGTTCTTGATCCCTGGCAGGAATTTCCGATGGATTACAGAAAAGATCTGTGGGCAAAATAAAGGTTGTGTCAATGGGCTAGAGGGCTGTTTCAACAGCAGGGGTCGCTCTTGATGATTTTTAAATCATTAAAATCCTTTTTTTTTTTTTTGCTCTGCTGGTTCTTGTTCAGTGCAGCTTAAAGTTAAGAGATTTTTTTTAGGCTTTTTGACATTTGTTCATTACTCAATGCTTTGTCAAGCTTCTAAATCTTTGGGAACAGATCATCCCAGGTGGCACAGAGCTATAGCAGGAAGGACACAGCAAGCCAAATTAATTTAAATCTCAGTCGCAATATTTTCTTAATTGGTCCCACAGTGAGGAAATTATTTGTAATTGTATTTCCTTTCTTCAGGGCAAGTAGCGCCTGTGTGTTTTAAATAAAGGTCAGAAGAGTTTTAAAGTAATATCTTTAAAAGTGTAGATGTGGTGGGTGGGCAGTGAGGGGGGACGGTAACTGCAGCAACTTGGGAACCACTGCCCTGCACTAAATTTAAATGACGTTTGTTATTGTGTTTTTATAAACCAAAAGCATGAAGCTCCCTTAAATGGCGTGCGGGGGAACCTAAGACTTGTCTGAGTAAGTCGCTGCTCACAGCAGGGTGATTGTTCCAAGGTTGTGTGTGTTGGCCACGATCAGAGGTGTGGGCTGCTGATCCATGAGGCTGCACTCCTCCTCTGAGTATTAGTCATTAAAAAGCTACAAATGATATTCAGTGTTCATCATTTGGCTAATCCTGACAATCATTTGATATATTTCTTTAATGATTTGAAAATAAAAGACAGGTACAGCATCGGAGTAACATATATGTGTGAATGGTGTACATGTATCTTCTATATGTATATGTACATCATATATCACAGGTGTCAAACTCAGGTTTTGGCTCGAGGTGTATTTATATTTGGCCTGCGAGATCATATCAAACGTGTACTAGGTTTGTAGCCCGCCAGTACATAGCCCCTATATACCGACAGAATTTGTAGTATTAGCAGTGTATGTGCTATGTTATAGCATATACATTTTTGTTTTTTGTTTTGTTTTTTTTGTTTTTTTTTTTTTTTTGTTGGCCTGTGAAAAAAAGATTTACATTAAGAAGGAACTCAGATAAAGGCTACAGATAAAGAGACGTAATAACAAACAAACACCACTGATTTGTGTTTTATTTTAAATTTAAATTTATCGTGTGTGTAATGGTGTTCCTGATTAGTTGTTCCAGATTCAATGTTTACTAAAAACTAAAGGTTGTTTCCATATGAAAAAAAATCTACATTACAGATCTGGAGAGAAAGTGAAAACATGCACAATTCCAGTCAATTTTTCAATAAATATTTAGTTTGGCCCATGCCGTCGTCCCAGTTTTTAATTTTGTCCCACTGCAAATTTGACTTTGACACCCCTGCTCTATAGCTAATGTTTTCACATCCATCATTAGTCTGTGTAATGGTCCAATCACCAGCTAATACTGTGGCCTTTGTGTGGTTTCATTTTAAGTAGGTATATTTTGAAATGTTCTGTAATGGATTAACATCTTTCTTAGTGCGTCTAAAAATAAAACACAGGCCCATGTAATGACTCGCTTAACCACTAATAAGACACAGCGGAAGACAAATGTTGTCTAACACGTATAGATGTGTTATTGATTATCCTGTGGGCACACTCATCTATTCATTAGCCTGCTCAATAACAAATTAGTCTCTGCCGAGAGCCATCCACGTTAGGGGTTAACAACTAATTAAACCAGGCTTTGAGGTGGGACAGACACAGACAGAGATAAACCTGGAGGGTGTGTGTGTGTGTGTGTGTGTGTGTCGTGCCATGACTTTGCCCATAAATCCCTTCTTTAAAGGGGAAGAGACATCCACAATTATGTAGTGGTGATTTTTCTAGGAGAATTATTCCAAAATCACGTTTTAGTCGTCATTTTCATGATCAGCAGTAAGGTTTTGGACTACTTACATGTGACTCACTTCTGACCAACGTTTTTGTCTCTGGAATCTGTCGATTGCTCTGAAACTCCACCTTAGATGTGATGGATTTGACGACAAGTTTGATATGTGCGTCGTCCTTGAGCGATGACAGGTTGAAAGTGAAAGGTCCGGGGACAGCTAGGCCACTCAGGTGGTAGGGCGATGGCGTGAGGAGAAGACCCTTCCTGTCCCCCGTCAGAATGTAAGAAGCCATGATGAGGAACATGACAGCTACGACGACAACAAAGCTGTAGAGGCTGATCCTGCGGAAACAGCCCAGGGTGCTCAGGCGTTTAGGGAGTTCCTGTTTCACCTTCAGGACAGCGAAAAGGTTTATGGGCATGTTGTCCACCTGCAGGAGCAACGGCTTTTTGTGGTAGTTGTCCATCACTGAGCCCAGCATGCTGTATTTGTAGTCCATCTTCTGCCTGGGGAGAAAAAAAAAGAGAAGTGGAAAAAGTTGCTGTCACTATGCATTTTCGTGTGATTCACGTCGGTTGACATGACGCAAGAGGTTTCCACATTTATTCAAAGTACACGTGTCATCACATTATCAGAATTTTAGGTTTTACAATACGACACTGCCGAGGTTTCACATCCTGGTCGAAGGCTGGCGTTCAGTTATTTGGGATTTATTATAATTAATTCATGACACATCTATGGGGAAGTGGCGGTTTAGTGGTTAAGGAAGGTTGGAGTCCACCAGCTGCCAAGTTACCACTGAGGTGCTCTGATCATGGCTCCGTCCCCACTCACTGCACCCCGGGTGCTTAAAGCTGCCCACTGTTCACTTTGGTGATGGGTTAAAAGCAGAGGTCACATTTGGTTGTGTGCAGTGGTGTGCTGTGTTCTTTTACAGCCACGTTTATGCTGCTCTTGCAAATACATTTAACACAAATAAATAGGTGGCACAGAAAACAAAACAACATGGAATTATAATGAGCCAGAATGAGTAACAGCTCATTCTGTAAATGACGTCCCGCGTTAAAATAGCCGAGTTATTGAAAGTCTACCCCCATTTGGAGTTTCCCGAGACCAAAATAATCACGATATGCAGCAAGGTTAAATTAATTTCCACTGACAGCATGGCAACAGTCCCCCTGACCTCACTATTCAACTTCACATCCACACTGCATATCGGAGTCACAATATGGAGGGAGTGATAAGGATGGGGGATGCATTCAGCCTGGTAACTAGGAGCTGCATGTCAGACTCTCCTGGGAAATAAAGACACAAACAGAAGAGATACCTGCTTTGGACCAAAGAAGGGATTACATTATCAGAAAATGGTATTCCCCACTCTGAGGGCCTGCACTGGCCCACAGATTACAGCAAGACCGATGTCTAAGAAGTAGGGCTATCAGAACGGATGCATTTATCATGTTAATTAATTTATGAAGATTAATCAGATTAAAAATTTAAAGGCGTACTAACGCACTTACTGTTGCTGTAATACACAGTCAGAACACCTAAGATTTGTCTATTTTTTTACTAAGCATCTCAAGCTTAGCTTCAGCTCAGACTTCAACAAACTGATTGACACAATTGTCAAATAGATTGTGAGAGACTGTAGACTGATCAACTTTGTTGAAGACGACAGCTTTGCTGAGTGGCACCGTAATAAATAATTTGCATTTATTTTAATTAATTAAATTTGTCATTTGGAATAATCACAAATAAAAACAGCTTAAAAAAACTAAAAACTAAATAAATAAAAGGCACACCACTGTGTGATGTTATTTGTCTTTTTATTCTAGCAAAATACAGAAAAAAGTGTTTTGTAACATTAACAAATGCTTATTTAACATTTATTAATCAGGGTGTCATGTCAGGATGTCATTGAAAACCATTCAGCACAATGACCAAAGATTATCAATGCTGTGATGCTTTAACACATTTTGTAGTGTTTTTTTTTTCATTCAAACATGACACAATTCCTGCATTGTCTGCGTGCATCAGAACTTTATTTTTGTTTTCTGTATCCCAACTGACACCAAAAACACACACACCCTTTTACACAACTTTGTCTTTGCAGAGGTTGTGGTGAACCTGATAAGAGGGAGACTGGAGGGCATCAGCAGCACAGAGGCAGCAATTCCATTTAATTCCACCGGGGCCCTAACGCCACGCCACTGCCAGTCTCATCAGGAAACAGGTTTGAGAAAAAGTGAATTTCTTTGGCAAACTATAGTCTGGCTTCAACTTTAGTGAGTAAAAGGGAAAGAACAGGGAGAGGAATGTTATGATTTTGAAAACAACACAGAGAGGTCTATTCAATGTTTTAGACCAAAGCCACTTACATTAATGTTTTCTACACATGGGAGGTGGATGTATGGATTTTCTATATAGAAATGATCAAAATAATATGGTGTTTCTTCAGAAGGGTATTTTTATTTATCATAAATTCAATTTCATCATAAATTATGTCCTTCTCCATCGCAGAGATGGTCTCCATGCTCTTAAATCACAGGATAACACATCTTTTCAGTGTGGTTTGTTGGTTGTATGCACAGTGTTTTGGCTCATTTGTAGTCATCATGCCATTAGCACTTATTGACCGTCTGTGTCCTTCATCAAGGCCGAAGTCGACAGGGTGCACGTCTTTGCTCAAGGCTATTTAAGACAGTAGAGAGGAAGAAGAGGGCGGAAGAGTTAAAGACTGACGGAGGAGAGAGGGAAAAAGTACAGAGTTGAAGGAAAGCAGAAATGGTCATTGACAGCGAATGTCACTCTCATCCAAATCAATCAGCTCACTGTAACAGCCGGTGACTGGCAGCTTGACAGATCTGTTCAACCCATAGAGGAAATTCGTCGGTCCTGAAATGGTTTATGTATAAAATATGGATGCACTGAAGCGGACATGAGGGGCAGGATAATACAAATAATAATACAAACAGTGTCAAATTGGTTTCACCGTGGACTGATATCAAATGCCTTTACTGCCCAACCACAGGCCTGAATTATAAATGAGCAGCGAGCATCAATTAGAACGACAAGACTGTTGCCAGGAGAAGATCCTGTGTAACCTCCTGTAAATGTGCTGCATCTGACATTGATTTTAATTAACAGCCCACCACCTTCTCATCACCTTCCTGGAAATTGTATTTGCTAAAGATTGACAGTTGGTTTTCTCTAAACTAATTAAACTATTAAAAAATATACCACGTGGCAGCTTTTGGACCAGGTTAAGTTTGACCAATTAGTGCTAATGTGTTAATGTTGGTGCTGATTATTCTCCTTCTATCTTGGGCTGATAACGTCTGCCATAGTTGCTGCTTGCGACTCTTGTGGTTTAATGTTCTCATGTGTGAATTAAAATATTATTCTTTTCTATCAAAAGGTCAGTCCTTAAATCTCAGCAGTAATATCAGTAGAGATCTTGTGTTTTCCAGGGCTAGCATGCTAATCTCTGAGTGGTCTTGTTATTGTTGTTTAAGGCAGGCACCCAAAGGGTTGCTAGATTCTCTGTAATAGAATAACTGGTTGACCTAAAGACCTGTGAGGTGGGACTATATGAGAACCACTTGAAGGTGACCAGCAACAATGTGGAAAAGTGAAAGGTCTTTATTGTTATCCCCCCGCTATATATATATATATATATATATATATATATTATTCTTTATATATATATATATATATATTTCTCTGCTTTTGTTGCTTTGTTCCCAGTTGACACGCCCTGTCAAAAACACAGATGTCGCCTTCTGGTCTACAAAACTCATAGTGGGAAGATCAGGACCAGAAATAAAGTTTTATAGACCCGACATCACATCCAACATTTTGCTGGCAGTACAAAGAAAAAAAAACCTTAAATCTCAAAAGAGGGAAAATATGGTCTCTGTCATTCAAAGATGGATGACTGAATTCCTCCCCCTCTGCTCTGGTGCAGCTAAATGCTTTCACACAGCCGGCTAATTGCTGTGCTGGTTTAGGACTTGTTCTTCTTCGCTTAACAGTTTCAGTCTCCACCTCTGCTGCGTACGACAAGATGATTGATTATATGTACGAATAGCCGGAGTGTAAAATTAACAGAAAATCTATCAAAAGAGGGTCCGGCCAAAAAACTATTTTTTGCACATTAATAAGTGGAAGGCAAGGTTACAAAATGATCATTTAATCACAGCAGTGGTTTAAGCACTGGTCTTGGTGCCTGCAAGAAAAGGAGTTCAGATGAGAGTACAATGTCCTACTTCCTCTGTTATTTTAAGTGGAAGAAAATTAATTGCATGACCTGCTGATAGCCCCATGAAATGCCCCCTCTGGTTCAAAGCAACCGGGTCATTGCTATCTTAAGCTATAGAAAAATCCACCATGTCATCTACCAAAACCCAGCAGTGGGTTATCCTGAGAGGCTGGTTCTTATCTACTACTAGTAGTAGTAGTGTTTATCTATTCAGTCCGATTGGTAAATCATAGATAATCCCACGTCTTTATTGTCCAGTGGCAGTGTATTTTAAATGACTAGAATCTCTGCGTTGTCGTTTCTTAACCTCAACATAGGTTCAGAGTGATTTGGATGTAATACAGAGAAATTATTATTCACTGACTGCACCTGGGCCTCTGACCTTCTGCTGCATAAGGGAGAAGAAAATCTGAACAGTTCGCTGCAAAAACCAGCTCAGGGCCGAGTCTCAGAAGAGAAGAAGGTTTTAGTTAGACTAGACATATCTAAATAAAATATTTTCTGTGTTGTAAACAGAAAGATTTTATTTAATATTGTATGGAGGTGAAGTGTTTGTTTTTATTCTTTGGATTTTTTTTTTCCACTGTTACAGAGTTACAAAAAAAAGTATACAGCACTCTCAACTCATACACCATGACATTCTGTGTTTATAGCACCCCCTTTAGGGAGGGTAGAGGGAGCAGTAGTATATTCTTGTGTTACAAATAATCTGCCATGTAATTATAATTTGTAAATCACTGAGCAAGTTTAAAAATTACTTCAAAATTGTAGGGCACCTAATATCACGATGAACTGCAAATCCTCAAACGTGGGTGGACACCTGTCTGTCACAGGCAGCCAGATGCTAACCTTTACTCCTTACTCATGGCCATAGGCACAATGTGAAAGATGAGAGTAAAATGATTAGATAAACATAAAACGGTGTGATGCAGAGACGTATGCAACCTTGAGAATCAAGCGTCACGTCATTTACTCGTAGCCTTTTAGTGCAGCTGTTCTGTAGTGCTCCAGCCTGTCTCCCTGAATCTCTCTAAGCTTTCACCAACACACCATCACTCCGAAGATGCTGTTAATTATTCAGGAGTCAACTCCTCCACCGAGCATTGTAAAGCCACCGCTGGTTTAGGACCGTTTACGGATCTCCCTTTGCACCTAAGCTAACAAATGAAGAATAGAGTATAAGCAATAGTCATAAGCAGTTTATGCTTATGACTGGTGTAAGCAGAATGTCAACTGCTTATGACT